CCCCAAAATCTGGTTCATTTTGATTAGTGTGAACGCAAGTGTGCCGGACTTGGGCGTGCCCAAGTCCCTTTGAAGAAGTCGTCTGGAGCACGATTCATATGTACTCGAGTACTGTCCGCGGGAGATCTGAATGCAAATGCTCAAACAAGGAAGTGGGCTGCTATGTGACATAACTATTCCACCCCGTTGAATAACATGGCTGTGGAGTAGCGAGGTAGTAAAATGCTTGCCTGAAATTTAAGTTGACAAAAACATACAAAGTTAACCAAATACGACACACAAAAACTCAGATTTATTTCAAAAGTATTTGTCAGTATTTACACGTGTGTGTGGATACATGCCCCCACTTTTTGGCGGATTGCAAACCAACTACATGCATACTGCCACCTACTGTATACATTTACAAGTGTACTGGGGCACATAACAATGTTACTAATGTGAAAGCAGACCTGCAGGGGAGCAATTGCATTTGGGCACAGTACAAAACAATAGTGCCTAATGTGAAAACACCCTTATGCTACCTGTCAAGGCCTGCTACCTACGACTCAAAGTGGTTGGGGATTGGGGTGCAATTAGCATTTCCACAGACTGTGCTACTAAGGTAGCATATCTCGACAAGGCAGCACAGTTTGACAGAACACCAGCATTCAGGTAGCTCGGTACTAATATCCAGCTCCAGAACTAATGTGTATAGAATATAGAGCCTATGGTACTGCAGCGACGCGGGTCCTCTTTCCTACCTAAAGCAGTAACACAAGCAAAGAGAAATGCTTTTTCAAAGTAATACCGATACACTACTCATGTTGTGGCTGGTATTGCATCGCATTCAAAGTTACATACTTGACACACATAATATTATAAGGTAACCGTGACCTATATGTAACAAGAGAAATTAACATTATGCTTTGATAGTAGAACAAACTCCCCACTGCTCTAGTTGAGTTGATTGTGTAAATTTCAACAAATGCTACATGGACTGCAGTGGTACGTCAGACATAAACTAACCGTGTGGCCTGAACCACAGCCAAGGAAAATTTTGCAAACTGAGCAAAATTACTTAATTTGCTAATCAAGGAAAACATGCTGGTTTCCACTAAGTGGACAACAAAACACTAATGCTGCAGTTAGTTGGAATGACTGCAAGTTACAGACAGAATAATTCAATACAAAAGGTACAAAACTGAAATGCTAACATTAGCTTGTTGATGATGCCAACATATACACATTAGCCAGCTACAGTACTTACACATTTAAATTTTAATCCCTTGGATAATTTTAATGCTCTCCATCTCCAACATGCCAAACCGATGTTACCCCAGGTTTTGCCTTGTTCTTTGACACACTGTTTCTGTGCTACAGAACTTTCTCACCCTCTTGGGGCTAACAGGTCCGCTCTCATCCTGGGTTGTACCTACACTGGGCATCCGTGATCAGTCTTTGAAATGAGCCATACTGGTTTGAAAAAATGTGTCTTATAACCTCGGATCACTGGGATCATGGAAGAAATGCGGTGCGGATTTTAATAACACTGGCAAGAGATGGGTAGGAATAAACACAGGCCCTGAAGATAGTAGGGTGGGGGTGTGGGGGTTAGTGCAGCAAAGAGACAACACTTCTAGACAATATTTTACTTGATTTATCCAAATTTGTGCTAAATCTTAGTTAATCCAGCTTTAACATAAAGGCTGGAGTCAGGGGTAAACATTTAACAGAGCTCTGTCTGAAGGTAAAAAAAAATGTGTGTATGGAATTTTTCACTTTGGTTTGGGAGCGAGTGGCATGGCTCAGCTTGTCTAATGCTCAGCAAGTCAGCAAATAAGCACTTCTAGAAATGTTAAACTACTGCTTTAAGAGGAACCATATTCACAGTAACTACAGGGTGACATGCAACACAGTCAAGTGAGATCTTTGAAAAAGAAATCAAGTGAGCCTGCCAAATCTCCAGACCATCAGTATGTAAACTTCTTATTACGTGCAGAATGTGACTTTCGCCTTCTTGTTCCAAGTAAAAGAAAAAGTTAAATAATCTCCTCTGCACATCTCTGGAAAAGACACTAACCTCTGGCCTAAGAAGTTTTTAATAACTCAGTGACACATGCCACATTTCACTGATGTTCCCTGCTTCAAGTCCCGTGATGCTTGGGGCTGCCTCTCTGCACAAAAGGCGTAATGAGAAACAGACAAGCTCTTCCACTGCAGCGACCACAAAAAACACTGCTCACTACACATGAGAGATTAGCCTGCTTGTTAGAGAGAGGGAGGGAGTGAGAGGAAAGGGAAGAAGGACAAAAAGAAAAGGGATGCTTTTCCAGGAAAAAGGCTGTCCTCTCTCGAAAAAAACAGACCAGGTTCCACCTTTTCTTCCAGATTATACAAAAAAGAATGGAGCCTGTTTCACGTGTGTTGTATCAATCGGTTGACTTATACAAAATGTTCAGCATGTATGATGGTGCAGACCCCGTCAGTCTACAGTCAGCATCAGTGACATTTAAATGTTTTTCTTACACCGCATCATCAGCTAAAAAGCTTGTTGTCTCACATTACTACTTAAGCTTCTCAATCTCAGTTTCTAAACACTCATGTTAAATTACATGAAATTTAGATTATGTATGCTTAGTGGAGTACAGCAAAGGAGAGGAAAAAACGAAACAGTGGTTTCAAGACAGTCAGTTGCTGGGAACCAGCCACGGGCCATCCATCCATTATGTATACCGCTTATTCGTTTGGAACCAATCCCAGCTGACATTGGGTGAGAGGCGAGGTACACCCTGGACGGGTCACCAGTCTATCACAGCGCTGACATGGAGAAACAACTACACGCACTCACACACACTTCTATGGGCAATTTAGAGTCTCCAATCAACCTAAGCTGCATGTCTTTCAACCGTCGGAGGAAGCTGGAGTACCCGGAGAGAACCCATGCAGGCACAGGGAGAACAAGCAAACTGGGCCAGGGCTCAAACCCGGAACCTTCTTGCTGTGAGACGACAGCGCTAACCACCACACCATTGTGCTACACATAGCCCTGGGCCAGTTTAATCCATTTAACGTTGAGAAACATGTTAAATGGTTCAAGTATATGAAGGCTTGTTCCTGGGTATGAGCGATGCCAGTTTGACATGGTGCAGGTGAATGCCTCGCTGAGCTGGCTGAGGAGTGAGGACATCAAGCATCAGAGCATTGTTTTCAGAGGGAGGAACTTCAAATTCAGACAGTTAATGTTTACAGGAGCCAACACAACCCTACATCTATACAAAACACTTACTTTGGTAAATCTGCCTGTATCAAAAGTTTTAAAACAGACAAGGATGTGACAAAAGCAGGATGAAAGATTAAGAATCAGTTTCTCTTATGTGCCACCTCCCAACAGCAACCTTATTTCCCTTCTCCTTCATTTGTTGTAAGCTCCCATAATGTATGTCAATTCCTGAAAAGCTCTCATCTGAACAAATAGCAAAAAACACTGCCATGTTAGTACATTATGAATGTTTAATCCACAGTTATTATAATAAGAGGAACACTGCAGTGTGGGTGGAGTAATTATGTGCAATGATGAAGTCAGGTGCAAAAAGGTCTTTCATTCAATCAGTGGATTTGTAAGTTTGTGAGATAAACTGTTGCATTCAGCTGAGCATTACCAGAAGGTCACTTATTAGAAAACAGAGAAGAGTGAAGTGGCGACTTGGTTACTGGTCTATGTGCTGACGAACAGTAAGTAGGCCTCAAAATCTTTCACTTGATTTGTTCTTCACTCTGAGAAGTCGCATATGATGCCATGCATATTTCACCATGTCCTCAAGGCTCACGGTGAAAAAAAACAGACAGACCATACATTTTAAGCAAAATGCCATCTAATCTTAAAAACAGCAGACGGACATGTATTTATGAGAAGTAATGTTTGTAGTGCAGGTGTCTTCAAGCTAGTATGTGTGTATTGAAGCCTGCAGGCATGTGTCTGTGAATACACTGTAGCAATGGCTGCTTTACTACACATAGCAGTGTTTGTTCACCACTGACCTAAATCATGTTGTGTGGACCTGAGTTCACCAAGTCCTGCTTCCCTTGCTGCTGTAACACATGTGAAGCTTTCCATTCATGCACTGCACATAACACAGACCTTCACTAAATTTAGAAACTGGCTTGATTTCAAACAGAGGTCGACATAATCAGGCAAGTCAATCTGAACTGGCAACAGTCAGTTTTTACGTATGGATTCCAGGAAGAACTGGTGCATTATCCCACTGATATTATCCAATAATCGTAAATTAGGGTTGCACTCAATAGCAAGAAAACAATTTATTCTGCAAGAAGACGGAATGTTTTCAGCCATCCGGCCTTCATCTGTCACACTCCCACGGTATAATCGCTTCTTTAAACATTACAGGTGATACCTTGAGTTAATTATCCTGCATCTGGTGTTGTCACCTTAAATTACAATTAGATTTCTCAGCTAACGTTAGCTTCATGTTGAAAACGTTGCCTCTGGCTGACTTTTTATTTTTCAAACCGGCTCATTTATAAACAAGAACCTAAAGGGTTGTGTCAAGGTTGTGAAGGGAGCATTTTTATATACAGTATGTATACACACAAAATAGTTTTTTTTGTTTTTTGTTTTTTTTTAGAAAATGAGCCAAACTAAAAATTCAAAGTGGCATTCATACTGGCAGGAAGTAGTGACACATCATCCATCTTTAAATATATATAATGGTATTATATAGCCAAACATGCTAATGCTTGAAACTTGCATTGCAAAAAAAGAAACCATCATCCAAATACTTTATTACAGACTGCTTCTTTTAAAACGGCTCCATGCACACTTGTTCAGAGTAATGCCTGATCTCAAACTGGACAGACCTGCCACATTATGACTGTACAATCACTGTTCGGGGGAGGGCTTCAGTGAATAATATTTTGAAAAACCACAACAACACTGGAATTTCATATTTCTAACAATGCTTGTAATAATCCCGTAAAAGTGCCAGGTGATTATCTTGACTTACTGTATGAGAAGCTGATGCGAGGCGTGACATCATCCTCTGTGGTCACCACTGACAGGAGGCAGCCGGCCCAGAGCAGCGCAGCAGCCAGAAGACGGCGGACAGTTGCAGCTGACATCCACATGCTTGCCTGATCCTCTCACACAGACATACACAAATTCACACCATCTGTTTTAAGATTCCTTAGAATTCATGAAGCTCCTTTAGACTCCAGGCAGTTTTATTCTTTCACTCCCATCTTCCTACAGGCTGAGTGGAACTAAATGCGTCCTTGACTTGATTTTTATACTCCAAGTGGTCCTTATACACGGTTAGGAGACTTTTATCAGACACTAGGAATCCTTTTCTGGATTAAAGGCTGCTCGTTTTCATCCAGTGGTGGTGCTCTTCAGTGGATCACCACCAAGCTCCAGCCAGTAAAGTTCATTTTGGATCTGTGGAAAGAAGAGAGTGGGCTTTATGTTTGATCCAAGAACATGTTTTTGAAACACAAGCTAAAATAACATTCATATCCAGCTTCTCACACTAAACCCAACTACAAATGAAAAAAAGAACTTGTATAGTGTTAAAGAACTGTGGTTCCTTCTGGAGGATGGATGTTTGGGTTTTACTGCGAACAATAAATTGAACGTACATGAGTTAAGGCATTCATCAGCTCTGACAGCGTTGCCACCCAAACAACCTGCCTCATCCCCTTGTCCAGACACTTTAATATTTGACTGCAGCACATGGCCTCAGCTTGTGACAACAACAGCTATTTATACTTCTGCTGTTTATGCTTTCAGGACACTGTCAAAGAAAAGCTCAACTAAGCAAATCACAGAGACCACCGGCCAGCTAACACGAACACACACATCATGTGGTGGCTTGGTGGCTTGAAGGGTTTTACAGACCTTTAAGGCTAAGTGAATGTTTGCTGATTGCACTGCAGCCCACAAAGTTTCTCAAGGAGATAAAACACTTGTTGGATTTTTTAAAATTCCTGTATTTAATTATGCTTCACTGGGAAGATAATATGGGAGCTTGGCTCACACTGGCTATGTGGGGAAATACATGAAAGAATAGTGACTATCAAAACAACTCTGTAATTTGTCCCAATGAACGCATCTGCTCTTTCTTTTACTGGCTTCAGTGCAGATAAAGTGCCTATTATAGCCAGTGTTGATTTATATATATTTATCATTGGTTGCTCTTTCAAAATACTTAAAACAGGTATAGGTAGATTTGTGTCATCTCTCTTTACTAAAACAAAAAATGATTCATAATACAATAGACAAGAAAATGATGGCTTTGTGGTTTTTAAACTTTCAATAATTTTTGGCCACTTGGTGGACCAAAAACGAGATGTAAACCAAACAGCATCATCCGAGGCTGAGAAATGAAGTCTGCACAAGTGTTAAATCCTGCAGTTCCTCAAATGGCCACTGGAGGCTGGTTCCAAAAGGGAGTCAGTCCCCACAGACCCCAACTGTTCAGCAGAAATACACATTTACAGCCTGGTACAAAAAGGTTTTGTTCTCTATAGCTAGTTTCCCCTTCCATGGCAAATGTACAAAATGTGGATATTTATATAATTTGCCAGTTTAAATTATATTGAGGCTAAAAGTTACACATAATTAGGGGCACGGCAGCTTTGAGTGACAAGCATGGGGGGTCCCGCCATAGGTGGCTGACCGCTAGCTGTCTAGAGAGCTCCACTCACACACCACTTCTTTGCAGGTGAACTAATGCGTTGCCAGTATGGTGATGGCCAGACTTGAACTTCAGAAAACCAGCGGGTGACGTTACAGTGGGTTGGGTCCAGTTTTTATTTACAGTCAGTGAGGTAAACAAAACACTAAACAGAACCTTTAAGTTGATAATGCAAACATGTCAGCCAATCATTTCTGCCTGCCATTTGGGGCTATGCGGGTAGTTTACAGTGGGTTTTTAGTAGCTCTTCACTGAAAACCTGCTGAAGCCAAAAATTATGAGACCACCGAGAGTGAAAACAAAAATTAGCTTAAAGATGCTATGACGCTCTATAGAGCCGAGGAGAACTGCCGAGTTAGGGCCTTTTTTTACCTTTCTCATTTTATACATAGTCATTTGATCCAATGTAAAAACTGAATGCAGCCCTGTGAAAACATCCATGCTAACAGCTCTATGAAGCTGTTCTTTAGTGCAGCTGGGCTTTAAATTAAATGCTAACATCAACATACTAACAAGTATAATCTTTTCCACATCTTGCTAAATTTTTTTTTTAATCAGCATTAAACACAAAGTCTGTCTGAGGCTTGGTTTGTGCAGGCAGAGTGTCAGACAGCTGAGCGCACCGCTGTGGTTGCTGTGCTAATGTTCAGGACAAACAATACTCTAACTAAAAATGCTTCCAACAAGTTCAATAAGAAAGTGATGAACTGTATAACTGATACCCCACTGCTCTGAGAACAGATGCATTTTACTTGTGGCAGTAAATGTTGAAAGATTTCCTGGGCTGATAATGTTGGTGTGACAGTATTTGTGCAGCACCGGGACATCTGTGCCAGCTGAGCAGGTATTTCCAGCAGCTGTGCTCATGTCTGCTACAATGAACAATGCACAAGTCCCTCACATCATGTGGATATGGTACATGTATAATTTTAACAAAATAAACCAGTAAAAGCAGAGTCCACTGTGTATTTACTACTGAAGATTCAGAAGTGGAAAAAATTGATCAGACTGTTCTAATTTCAGGACATCCAACACATTTAGTCTGATCTCATGTGGGTTCTTCAGTGAAGATGGGAGGTTGTGCAACATTGCTCACTAAGTTTAATACTCTGGATTTTATAGGTCCCCTTGCTGAAAAGAGACATACAGGAGTGCAATTTCACACAGTTCATTTTGTGCTGCTTAATTTGTAACTTGACTGCTGTGACTGTGGCTGGTTTTGCATAATCTAATGTTAGGTAACCAAACCAGATTTGCCTATATCTGTTTTAAGTGCAACTCACAACCATTTACCAACTGTCTGCAACATGCATCCATCCAAACGGGACTAGGAAACTAACAAAAATGCACAGGGAAAACATTTCAGTGAGGAATTTACAGTGCCTTGCGAAAGTATTCGGCCCCCTTGAACTTTGCAACCTTTTGCCACATTTCAGGCTTCAAACATAAAGATATAAAACTGTAATTTTTTGTGAAGAATCAACAACAAGTGGGACACAATCATGAAGTGGAACGAAATTTATTGGATATGTCAAACTTTTTTAACAAATAAAAAACTGAAAAATTGGGCGTGCAAAATTATTCAGCCCCTTTACTTTCAGTGCAGCAAACTCTCTCCAGAAGTTCAGTGAGGATCTCTGAATGATCCAATGTTGACCTAAATGACTAATGATGATAAATAGAATCCACCTGTGTGTAATCAAGTCTCCGTATAAATGCACCTGCACTGTGATAGTCTCAGAGGTCCGTTTAAAGCGCAGAGAGCATCATGAAGAACAAGGAACACACCAGGCAGGTCCGAGATACTGTTGTGGAGAAGTTTAAAGCCGGATTTGGATACAAAAAGATTTCCCAAGCTTTAAACATCCCAAGGAGCACTGTGCAAGCGATAATATTGAAATGGAAGGAGTATCAGACCACTGCAAATCTACCAAGACCTGGCCGTCCCTCTAAACTTTCAGCTCATACAAGGAGAAGACTGATCAGAGATGCAGCCAAGAGGCCCATGATCACTCTGGATGAACTGCAGAGATCTACAGCTGAGGTGGGAGACTCTGTCCATAGGACAACAATCAGTCGTATACTGCACAAATCTGGCCTTTATGGACGAGTGGCAAGAAGAAAGCCATTTCTTAAAGATATCCATAAAAAGTGTTGTTTAAAGTTTGCCACAAGCCACCTGGGAGACACACCAAACATGTGGAAGAAGGTGCTCTGGTCAGATGAAACCAAAATCGAACTTTTTGGCAACAATGCAAAACGTTATGTTTGGCGTAAAAGCAACACAGCTCATCACCCTGAACACACCATCCCCACTGTCAAACATGGTGGTGGCAGCATCATGGTTTGGGCCTGCTTTTCTTCAGCAGGGACAGGGAAGATGGTTAAAATTGATGGGAAGATGGATGGAGCCACATACAGGACCATTCTGGAAGGAAACCTGATGGAGTCTGCAGAAGACCTGAGACTGGGATGGAGATTTGTCTTCCAACAAGACAATGATCCAAAACATAAAGCAAATTCTACAATGGAATGGTTCACAAATAAACATATCCAGGTGTTAGAATGGCTATGTCAAAGTCCAGACCTGAATCCAATCGTGAATCTGTGGAAAGAACTGAAAACTGCTGTTCACAAACGCTCTCCATCCAACCTCACTGAGCTCGAGCTGTTTTGCACGGAGGAATGGGCAAAAATTTCAGTCTCTCGATGTGCAAAACTGATAGAGACATACCCCAAGCGACTTACAGCTGTAATCGCAGCAAAAGGTGGCGCTACAAAGACTGAAAGTAAAGGGGCTGAATAATTTTGCATGCCCAATTTTTCAGTTTTTTATTTGTTAAAAAAGTTTGAAATATCCAATAAATTTTGTTCCACTTCATGATTGTGTCCCACTTGTTGTTGATTCTTCACAAAAAATTACAGTTTTATATCTTTATGTTTGAAGCCTGAAATGTGGCAAAAGGTCGCAAAGTTCAAGGGGGCTGAATACTTTCGCAAGGCACTGTATAAGTAAGAGGAATTGTTCGCAATTCAAGCTGGCACACACCAAACTCAGTAACAACATGCGCTGAGGTTAACTGACAGAAGAAGCTTAAACTTGTTGGTAAACTAGGCTATAACTATGTCTCAGAAGAAAAAAATGCCTGTAAGAGCATTGTTTCAGCAGAAATACAAGTTTGCTACCCGTCTCGTTATTTCAACAAATCCATATAGCAGCCTGGCATTATGTCGTCATTTTAAATCTTGCATCAACAATGTGTCAGTGAAATTCATGGCAGTTGATTTTCTGACAGTCTAGGCTATAAATATATATCTTAAAAAAAGAAAGAAAGAAAAAGAATGAATAGTCAGAATAGTCACACTGAAGACAGACAACTCACAAAATCCTTAGTCAGGTGCATCCCTAGTGCCAGCCTCCTGTCCCCACAAGTTAAGCCGGTCCCTGTGAAGCTAATGCGCTCCCGGTTTTCTGTCCTCACAAAAGCAGAAAAACAAGGCCACACAGACATGCACACAGAACCCCAAACCTAAACATTTTATTTATTTATTTATTTATGTTCATTAAGCTTTAGAGGCACTGAATTTCTTCTTTCTGAAGTTGCAAAATTATTAAATTAGCTGGAGTTGTGATAGGTTCTTCAGAGGTAACCAATTAGTAAGACATTTTAATATTTTGTCAAAACATTGTTTGGAATTTCTTAAAGCTTTAATTGAGAGAAACATTCAATCCTGACAGCTC